ATCATTGTACCACTTCAATGCGAATCAAAGAGTTGAATTGAGTGCTTGTAGGTAAGAATCATTTGTTGTTGGGGTTTCGTTGAAAGGTTGATGATATGGCTTCGCGAGGTAAGGGATAGGAGTGTCGAATGAAGCTTTTGGGGATAAATACGTGCGATAGGTAATTGTGGATAAAAATATTATTATTTTCTCTTCTTATGGAAACACTGATATAGGTAAATGGAAGTATAGATGACCAAGTTCAGTTGTTATGCGGTATCAAATAATGATTGATATTGTCCGATAAGGACGGGAAAATGAACGGAATAGGTGAGAAGAAATTGCGTAGGTAGATGTCGCGTGAAATGATGGTGCGTTGAAGTTACTAAAGCTATGGCTTTTTATGGACATGATGATTATAGAAGAATGAATCCTTCGTGCGCATTATTTCCTTGCGATAGTTTGGTTGCTTTCGGTATTTAATTCATAGTTATGGGTTAAAAGTAAAGTGGTAACGGTATGACGTCTGGCTTGGGAGCGTTTACTTTTTATACGAACGTGATTAATGATATTAATGTTGATGCTTCGCATTGGATTCAGTACTGTAGATGAATACAATCTTGTTTGGTAGTATTTGTTTACTATATGAAATAGAATCAAACGGTAATTCGGATGTAAGTTATACATATAGTATGTCGAACTATGTGATGGGATTGGTGAATATCTTGAGCAAAGACCTCTATTTGAAATAGGAGACTTATTGAAGATTATTAAAAGAAGAAGGGTGGAGGAGAGCGAACTTTTATCCTGCAACAGTTGGCAGGTTATTATTTCAGGAAGTGGGCATTTGGAGTAATGCAGGAAGTGTTGATTTTTCCGAATGATATTGATGCCAGTTGTAGGAATCTTCAAAATGATTAGGGTTATAGGCGCGACCGTAAGGGTGACTGGAAGCCCAGTTTGCAATGGCTAGTTTTTCGTTTACCAAAGGTTTGATTGTCTTTTCATAGTCTGTTATATTCGTCCTTGGACAACAGGATAAATAATACTTTGACTGAAAAGAAAATTATCGAAAAAATAATGAAAAAGATGTCGAAGGATAAAAATGTAGAGAGTCAAAACTCGAAACTAACAATCTTGCAGATAGGCATGCTGAAAAAAATGTCGATAGATAAATATGCTAAAGTGTAAAAAGATCAAAAGATAAAAATATCGAATTATTGAAACGTCGAGACATTGCAAATTATTATGTAGTGGATGATAAAGGATTAGATATATTTGTTTCATTTATAGAACTTATATTGATAAGGAAAAAATGTTTCTTTTTTTTACAACGAGCAATGATGAGATACGGAGCAGTTTTAATGAACAAGATAACTTCAATGGTGCATATTTTTCACATCTATTTTTTCGCTCCAACAATACATGACAAGCAGGAAAGAAGATCTGATGAACTGATTATGCCATCATTATATTGACTATACAAAGTGTTGATGGGATTTTGTATAAATGTTGTCCATGTAGGTTTTTGAGGTTGAGGGTGAGAATGAAATATTACCCTCATCCTAATTCTGAAATATCGTGTTTCAATTAAGGATAAAATGAATGATGTAATCAATTAATAAGAACGATTACGAGACCATCACATCACACCAATTGACTCATAGTGCCATTTTCGTATCAGTTATCGAGCATTCATATTTCCATATTCTACATGAATTTCGAACATCGAAACTAACAAAACAACATACATTTTGATAATTTT